TGGCCAGAACAACCGACCTCTTGAGACAAAGTATGTACTGGCCAGGTATGAGAGAAGACGTAGCAAGATATGTACTTGGATGTCCACGGTGCCAGCTAATGAAAGGCGACCGGTGCATACGACCACCACTTCAGTCGATTCCAGTTACGGCGATAGGTGACTTGTGGTCCGTAGGTGTTATGGGTCCATTTCCTCAGACATCCAATGGTAATCAGTACCTCTTGGTGATGACGGAACACGCGACACGATGGGTAGACGCCGTAGCAATCCCAGACCAACGCGCAAGGACCGTGACAGATGCAGTGGTTAGATAGATCGCTGCAGACTACGGCGTACAAAAGACAATACTGACAGACCAAGGTCCGTGTTTAAAAAGTGAAGAATTTACTTCCCGCTTGCAACAGCTTGGCATCAAGAGGATCCGAACGACCCCATACCATCCATAAACGAATGGCCTGACAGAGAGAAACAACCGTACGCTGAAGGAGTGGCTGGCCTCGAAGGGCGGTAACTGGGAAACGGAGCTGCCACTGATTCTACTAACACATCGTGCCACCACCCAGGAAACAACGAAAAAGTCACCCTTTCAACTGATGTATGGTAGAAAACCACGATTACCGATACACAACGAAACCTGGCCCCTTCACGAAAAGTGGAGTACGACGAAATTAAAAGCAGAACGGAAAGAAGCAGTCGAGAATGTAATGCAGAAGCAGCGGAGGGATGTCGCGAAGTCTCAGCTAAGAGAAAAGACTCAGTGCATTACCTTCTCAGTCGGGGACCAAGTGAAGTGTGGAGACAGAAGATATGCAGTTGGATGCGGGCCAGGTTCACGCAAACTCCTTCCAAAGTGGGAAGGACCATACACAGCCACAAAAAGACGGGGTCAAGTATATACCATCAGAAGAGGTGACAAACAAAAACGAGTTAACGCCAGTCAGATCCAACGATGGGTGCATTGGGACAAGCCGGTCTGTAACAATCATCAACGAGAGGATGCATCACCCAGAAGGTCGGAACGCCTGCGCGCGAAGCTATTTGACGGGGGGATGAGTGTGGTGATAGCTGTCTACTAGCCAAATTGGTAGACAGTAATTTACATCAATATTTACGTTCCCAAGATTTGTCGTGAGAAAATGTGAACAAAGATTGACTTTGCGTAGGCGGATGCAGTTAACATATAGAGGATTTGACATTCAAGAAACAGTCACAAATAGATGAAAGATTAACTTTACGTGAGAAACAACCAATCGGAAGACTGTGTTTGTTTGCTTAAATATTCATAGTAATGTACATGCAAATATATAAATATGCGTTGATTTCCTTAATAAATGATCTGTTGCCTGACTCTTGCCTTCTGTTGCAAGACGACTCATAAAGTTGGAGTCTTGATATCAAAGGCAGCTTACTAAACTGGCTCGGGGAATTCCTCATAGATGGGAGGCAGTGGCATAGGATCAACTCGAAACTCTCCTCTTTGACAGCAGTACGCAGTGGACTGCCCCAAGACACGGTGCTTGGACATCTCCTATTTATTTTGTTTTTCAATGAGTTATCTCTGCTCACCGATTCCCCTATGGTCCTATACGCAGATGACTTAAAAATTTGGAGAGAGCTGAAGGGCAACAGTGACACGTCCACGTTGTAAGAGGACCTCAACAAATTGTCAGAGTGGTCCATAGAATGGATGCTCCCGATATATGTGGCAAAATGTGCAACCATGTGCATTGGAAAAGCAAGCACGAGCCCATACGAACTAGAGGGAATTACACTTCCATCAGCTCAGACCTACTTGGACTTAGGTGTCATAGTTAGCCACGACTTAAAAACTGCAGCACACTGTCGCGCGGTGGCTGCACGGAGTTTCAGGTCATTATGGGCGATTCGTAGAGCCTTCACTAGAATCACCAGAGATATGTTCACCTCCTTATATACATCTCTGGTGAGGTCAAGACTGGAAAACTGCATCCAGGCCCTGGAGAAGGCAGCTAAGGTTGAACACGTATGATTCATTGCATGACTAACTTATCATACGAGGAAAGACTAGACAGTTTAAATCTCTTCTTCTTGTCATACCTTAGGCAGATAGGAGATTTAATCACAATGTTTAAAATTTTAAATAATGACTACGGACCTGACCTATTTTCTCTTTTCACTTCCCACCAGGTCGGAACACCTTAGAGGACATAGCAGGACAGTTCAAAAGCCAAGAAGAAATCATATTGCTGTTGAGTACTGTTTCTCACACCGAGTCATAAACTCTTGGAACCGACTCCCAGAAGAAGTGGTGTCTGCAACCTCAACTGATTCGTTCAAGAAGGGTTTGGACAACCAATGAAGTGATAAATGCTTTCTCTGAATGAGGCGACTGTGGCTTTTGGGCACAAAAAGACATCATCTGGCAATTCAAAGAGTGACACTTTACTAAATTTGAGAAACAAATCGAAATATCGTCACCATCTATCACCTTAATATGTAACCTTTTCATTCAGTCAGTAATTATTCTCTCCGAATGTTTTCTATAAACTATCCACGAGTCAAAGTTTCGACCTATTTAGCTAGCTTAACAGCTTTAGCAACTTCCGCTTTAATACACCTGATGTTGACCTAAGCTCGCGTATATCTTTGTTCTCGTGATAAAACCTGCCATTGGTTGACTGTTTTTATCTGAAATCTACCAACAAATGTGTGCGTCGGTGGCACAGTGGTCAGGACTCTCGCCGACCATGCACATGGTCCGGGGTTTGATCCCCTGCCGACGCACACCCGATATCTATGGTCGGTCTGCGAAATTTGGGCTACTGATAGCCATGCTGAAAACTCCATACTTGTACTGTAAATACGGTGTGGCATCAAGCTGTAAATCAAAAATAAAATAAATATGAGAATTTGAGCTGATGAATTCGACAAGGAATCTTAGTGGGTTCCTGGTCAGCAATGCAGTTGTTGAACATTAGCATCTGTTCCGAATAATAATCGGATATAAAGCATCACCGGTGAGAATTATTCCGTCCACTGGGTGAAGGTTGAGTGATATTTTAATATGGCCTTCAGTTGTCGATGAATGCTCTGATTCCAACTAAGCTCCGCCGTCGGTGATAACTGTTATATACACACACAGAATGTGTCTGCCAAGTTTTGAAGAAGCCACTTTCCGCTGTACTATCAGTAAGTGGTGTAGGGGCAGGGAACCTGGTGAGTCAATAGACAGAAATGAACAGGCAAGTGAGTCCATGAGATTATCACTGAGAACCCAGATAAAAAGTGGCCGTACGAGTATCCAGCTGCAAGAGTCTTCCAAGTGTGACAGTTTGTGTCTGTTCTTTTCTCCATCTGACGCGAAATGTACTCTCTTGCCACTTCTGCACATTGCATTTGAGGTTTCGCAAAATATACACTGCAGAGATTATTTCAGATGGAGCTTACGCTCTGTGGTGCTATAAGAAGTGGGGACTCCTGAACCAGGATCTTTCCATAATTTTAGGGGGAAGGGCGTTGATGAACGTTTGGTTGTTTTGCTATATATGATGTTGCCACCCACAGGAGATCCATACGGATTGGATTTGAGACTAGAAATATTTGTGGTGGGGGCATGCTTCAACACTTGTTTTTCTTTTGAAGCTCTGCCAATTCCTTGAAGTTTGTATTGGTCTGTTGCACTGTATTCACCTATATTCTGCGCAGTGCATCAGCCTTACAGTTCTTCTCCCCTCCACGTATCACGTATAACTGGCAAGCTGGATATAAAATGATGTTGGCGAGGTTCTCGCGGTGAGTATTTCTCCGTTTTCATACTAAGCGCATAAATGAGAAGCTTAAGATGTGCGCAGATTGTAAATTGTTTTCCTTCAGTCATGTAGGGAAAGTGTTTAACTGCTAAGTGTCTGCCAAGAGTGGGATACCTCGTTTCCGCGGGATTGAGCCGCTTAGAAAAGAGTGCTATCGTTTCCCAGCTATTTTCAACTATCTGATTCAGAGTTGTCCCCACAGCCTTATTGGATGGATCTACCATTAGTGCGAGAGGAGTACTTATGTCAGGATTTTTATGATTGTAGTATCAACTAGCTTTCTTTTTAGCCGTTCAGCTGCGTCGGACACCTCTTTTGACAACTGAAGGTCTTTTGACTTTCCTTTAATGCATCAGTCAGGGGCTATATGTATTGTGGGTTGTTAGAGATAAGGCGTTGATAAAATTGCGAATGTAGATTTCCTTGGTAGTATTCACCCATTGGTCGCTGCTGTCTGTGACATGCCCTAGGAACTCTATTGTTTTCGCCCCAAAACGCAGTTAATCCTATTAGCTGTCATGCTGTTGTCTCCCAGTTTGCATAAAACTACCCTAATGTGGCCTTCATATGTGTTCATACCCGGGCTAGCGATGAGTAGTTCACCTACGTACGCCTACGCGAATTGAAGTTCACGCAGTAAGTCATCCATAAATCTTTGGAAAGTTTGTGCAGTATTCTGAAGACCAAAGAGTATCCACACAAACTCGCAATGTAAATTGGGTGTTTTAGGAATATATTTCTCAGAAACCGGAATGTTGTGATAGACACGGGCCAAGTCAATTTAGCAAATATTGTGGCACCTCAAAGACTATTAGTAAACTCCTGAACCTGTGGCAGTGGTTATCTGTGTGGTGTGGCTTGATTATTTAGGGGTATGAAATCATCAAAAAGTTGCAGGTCATTCTCATTTGTCCTAGGTAACATGTGTAACGGTGAAGCCCACTGACTATTCGAGGGACAATTAATCCCCAAATTAGGCGAGGAAACCAGGTAAAATACACGAAATTGTATCCGTCATTCAATACCGTTCAATAGATATAATTCACACTCTGTTCCTCTCCCTGTCCCTCTGAACTTCCTAATCGATGACTACCTCTGTGTGACGGCAGTGTTCCATGCCTCGGATAGTCCACACCAACATCCATTCGTTAGTATCATATGGTCATTATCATGCATGAATGTGTTATATGATACACTATGGTGATATATTACTTTTGTATTTGTTCTTCATGCTTTAACTCATATTCATGTCGCAACACTAAGGCTTCTGCATTCAATAAATAATTGATAACAAATACTAGTAGGCATATCCGCATCCAAGTACGAAGGGAGATGTAGTTAAAATTCATTGAACTTCCTATTCTTCGGTTCCTAGTTTTTCAAGAGGAAGACGAGTTTAAGGGAGGGCCTTCATGTAATTATAATTTGCACTAATCCATACATACTCCGAGTCCGCAATTGTATTTTTCCTTGGAGAATACGAATTAATAGTTGAATTTCGTCAGAAGACACTGAAGCATAATATGTAAATGTTGGTGTTTTCAGCGAAATGGGGATATTTGTTTCCACCCCATGTTATTAAATAACATTTTATCTCACAAACAGTATCATACCAGCCGAAATTCCCACATAACACTGAACAGTTTTTCCCTGTTATTAGTCACTGCAAGTTGTGAAAGCTTCATCGAACTTTTAATACCAGCAGTTTATTTATTAGGTATTGCCCATTTGTGAATATTCAAGGCTAACGTACAACACATATCGCTCTGACTTTTACCTCATCTTTCGAGTTCCCAAGACGGAGTGAAACCGTATAATGTTCAAGATACCCCTTGACATTTGTGATAAGGTTTAAATTAACTACGATGCAGCCTATTTGCAATAATGACGATTTGAACAGAATCCCTGCAGCCAGCCAATGCCTTCTGCATCCCAAGATACCCCTCCTGTTTCTTCCACTTCTACATCTGTCTACACTTACCTATTTTCCTGCTCTTACTCGTAAAATATCCCCAATCATATTATACACACATACAAACAATCCTTAGTGGTTATATGTGCATTGTGCACAAAAAGGCTGCACTATTCTAACAAATGGTAATAACACTGAGTGTACTGTCACACATGTGTATTCTTATATTTCTTCGTCATTCTAGTTGATGCATCTACGGAAGCTTTGGGATCTGTTCATTGGCAGAATGGTCATTGGGAAGTGAAAATACATTTGAGGCACAGATAAGATGAGCTATGAAACTACAAATTTTTCTGTGTCGAAGCTGGTATACAAGTGCCTGGAAACCAGGTTGGGATATGCACCCTTCAGTCAACCCTAAACCGATCAGCAATACTTCTCGAATACTCAGGGCCGCCATCGTCCTCACGATCCATTTGCTCTGGAACAATATCAGCTTTATAATCTGATATGGAAGTGTTATATAAAGTGAACTGCTCTTTAGCTGATACAACATCTAACTCTTATATCAAAGATGGATTCAAGATAAACTGCTGTTGAATATCCTGCCTTTTTGTTTACTTTGTAGATACATGAATCGTAATATATTTAACGCCCCGACTGTACACAGTTTTAAAAAAACACCATATGGAAGATTTAGAGCATACGAAATGAAATGATTTCACTTCACCAATCAATGTTTGTTGTTCTTCCTTTCACAATAAACAAAGGATACACGTTTTCTTTCAGGAAGTTAATGAACGGAAGACTGAAAATTCTACAGCACAATCATAAATTGTTAAATGGCTATGATTTGAACTATTTCATTTCAAATTAAGGGAATTTTGTTAACCGAAAAATCAAAATATTGGACAACTAACTACTGCAGAGATTGAATATAGATTGAAATAGAAACCAAGTCGGAAATTAAATACCTAGGCGTCATTCTATCTGCTGATCTCTCCTGGTCGTCTCATATCTTGGCGATTTCTAAGAAAATATTCCATCTTACCTTCTACATCAAGAAGTTAAGACATTCTGGTATAACCCAACCCTTACTCCTACAATTCGTTAACTCTCGCATTCTGCCTATTATTCTTTATTGTTCCCCCTTAGTTTTTTTCCAGGCTACTGAAGAAAGACTATAACATATTACGCAGGATTTTAACAGTTGTCAGCAGGGTAAGCAACATGCCACTTTACCAGCTTGTTAATATGCTGGTTGACTCATGTGAAAAATGGACCAAATCCATTTTATCTAACTCACACCACCCTCTTCACTCACAACTCTCCCCTTGTATCTCATCAGGCAAAGCCAGAAGCCTATATAGAAAACTATATGCTCGCACCAGCAAGTACAAAAACTCAACCATACCCTACTTAGCTCGTGTTCTGTGTGATAAAGAAAGCATTAGGCGTGACACCTATAATTCATTAAATAGTCAGTAGTACAACTGGATCTCGTCTTTCCAACCCACATCATCAATAGGTACAACATTTTCTTTCTTTCTGTTCCTTTTCTCTCTCTTCTTTTTCCGTTATGTGCTGCTTTGTCTCTTTCTCTCGCTTACGCCAGTTAATAAGACAGCTCCCACTTTTCTAACACCTTCAAACACTGTTTCAGCTTTACCTTTGCTACTGACATGCCAATGTATTGTTGTAATAATGAACTGTGGTTTCCTCAATCTATGTAGAATTCTATTTATTGATAATGTACTAACTGGATGCAATACCGTAGTGAAAATGCAGAGAATTCCATTCTGTATCATAAGAACTGTTTTGGAATGAAGCAAATTATTATTATTAAGCTCCACTGATAACATGCCTGTTATCTTTTCAAATTTTCCGAAGGCATCTACTGAATCTTTATAGAATGTACTACAATCACTAATGTCCATAGTAAATAATGTTAACAAAACATGGGAAGTTGAGGATCCTTTTTAAATTTTTCAGGCCCGAGATGACAAAGGAGACAACCGCAAGATGCATTTTTGTATAAACCTGATCATGACGTTTCAAAATTTACGCGCAGCTGTCACATGTCTCGATTTATTTCCAGGAAGAAATTATCGACAAATCAAAGCACACCCGTAATACTGAGAAAAGTAGCTTCTATTTGAGTATCTATTAGAACTCCAGTTGAGAAGGTAAAAGCCATCTTTGCTATCAAACACAGGCAACTAGAACAAAGCCTCCTCAACAGTGGTTCCGTTGAGTTTGCATCACCCTTATCATTTAAGGGGTAGTCATTTGTAAAACAGCAGTTTGCAATTGGAAGACATCCAATGGAATTCTGTTTTACAAGTTTCCACTGCAATTTCTGCGGCCACACCCGTACAGATAGTTTTCACAGAGATAAAAGATTGTAACAACCAAACGCAATGATTGCAATACCCATATGAATGCATTCGTATTAAATATATAATTGGGGTGATGATTCGGTCTTAAATGACTTGAACTACTGGAGATGTTGACAGTTTTCATTGTGGTCGAATAAAATACGAAGCTGAAGATGCGTACAGCATCTCCACCGTTGAATAGAACGAAAAACTGATGATATTATGCTTCTCGGAGTGGAAAATCAGGTGGTAGTGCGTACTGTTCGGAAATTAAGTCTTAAACTTAGGTATCTAAAGAAAAGTGGATTTTACAGTAATGTTAGAAGTACCTCAAGTAATAAGTGTATATAAAAAAGATTAGGGCATGTGGAAATTCACAAGGTGTGACGAGGGTATCATGATGAACCTCCGTTATAGTAATCGCAATCAAGTTTGCGATAATGTAAAACGACAACGTTACTATTAGCCTGGGTGGTTGCTTCTGAGTCCTCAGTCCAATTAGTCAACTTATTAATCACCGGCCGTCAACTAATTTCTAATTATTCTTCGTTACAAATATTGCAGAGAACGACAATCAAGTATTTACAGCAATGCTAGATTCAACCATAAAGTATTATTGTGTGTCGCTCAAACAAATTAGAGGTAAAAACCTCACTTGAAATTCCATTGGTTTATGCTGCGGTGGTTTACATTCCTTATGACTGGAATAATGGACAGAAATATTATAAATGTTTGTCCCAACACGATGTTAAAGGAAGTGCCACACAAATTGGAATATAATTATAATAATGTGGGATGCCGACTAAATAAATACTTAATTACTATCAAACAATAAGTTCGAAAATAACCAGTCTTGGCAATTGTCAAGAATAAGAATGGTCGTGTGTTTTAAGTAGCTAAATAAATCAGAAATTTTCATTGTACTCTGGCGCCTGTTTCTAACCAGATGTAAGTTGACGATATTTTTGTGTGAGGTCATGTTACGTGATCTGTCAAACAAAGGGCTTCATTCGAAGTTAGTATATTAAAATTTATCTATTTTTCAATCTTTTTGCATCCTTACGACCTTTATTTGACTAGTGTATTCGTCAAGTTATTTCGTTTGCTAATTGTTTTCGAAATATATATTATATTGCCTAATGCCCAATTTGAAACCTTTCGCAGGCATCCCCTGTGTCTCCATTAATTTCACTCTATCATTCATATTTTTCATTTATGTGTTTTAAGAGCTGAACATGTGTTTGCATGATTTAGGCTTTTCGAATTTATTTAATTGACTATCTTTGATATATGATTTATCTAGTAATGGTGACTAGCACGTTTGATCACTTAATGTGCCTGATCACACTTTATTTATGCGTGATTTCAATGAGTCTGTTTCGATTTATTTATTGTAATCATCTAAATTTTTCAGTCAAATAAAATCCCTGTCTTTTAGCAATAATCAGATAGGTTTTAGGGGGGTATTTTGCATGTATAACTGAAGTATGCAATTTATCTACTCAGTTGTATATACTGTATAGCTTTTGCTACAATAGTAAGAAAATCGGAATATGTTCTCCGGTGAAAAGTTTGCACTGTATAGAAGTTAGGCTTGATTGATTAACATCCTTATTGATTTCTCAGTAAATGGTTCGCTGTAAATGGTGTTATAATCAAATAATAACTGTGGTGATGTTACTGTACCACTTGAATGTCACAGTTGTCAATTTACTCTGTTGAGCCCAAGTAACTTCATCAGTATCCTGTTCATGAACAATTTTGGAAAGGAAGAAGCAAACTTTGGCATTTGTTCCCCCATATCGGTAGATTTCTCTGGTTGACACTTTGTGCAGAGTAAACTTCAAATATTATTCTTAAATAAAATAATTTAAATCTAATTTTTCATGTCTATGTTTATGCAGTACCACTTTCTACTGGAGCAAACCTATTAGAATATAGGCCAGAAGTCCATAGTAATCAATTTTTTCTGTCTAAATATTAGGCTCATGTTAATGAGTTAGACATTTAAAAACTTATGTGCTAT